ATTGACACATCTTTCCAAAAGTATACCGGTATGTAAAATATGCATACAAAATACAACATTTAAACAAATTATTTACATCCAGGGGCAGCTGCAAGACCGAGCAATAACCTTAGCAATAGTTTTAAAAATAACCTGCTGCAGTGCACACTAATTAGGTATTTCACAATATGAGCGTTGAGTTTTAGCAATGTGCTGCTATACGAAGCTCTAAAATATTACAGCACGGCCAGATAGAATATTAATGCTTCTTTAAAAACCAGACAGCTCAGAGACTGATCTGTGGACTGACAAAACACTGCACATTCCTCTTTGGGGACTGAAAACCACAGCAGATTTATAGTCAAACGTAATAGCTACATTCAAAATACATTGAGTCTATTTATGCCAAAAATACATTCAGAGCCTTTGGTTACAACTTATTGCACGTTTCTTACTTTCTGTAGAAATGTATCGTACCTTTTAATGCTTTTCCCCCATACATTCAGAAATTGTGCTGCCCATCACAGCTGGACACGGATGTCTCTCCCCAAGACACGGTTCTCCATAGCCAGGAGAAGGGCAAACCCTCCTTCCCGTGAGTCAGGATGTGCTGGGACCGAGGGCAGCCAGCGCCCGTCGGCATCACAAGAGATCCAGGCAGTCAGGGACCGCAAGAAGATCTTGCTCTGCTCGATGCTAGGACCTGTTGTGGGGACTAAACAGGTTTCTGAACAAATTTATTTATAATTCCTGAATCTATTGCCTTAAAAAGTGGCATAATTATTAAAATATTACAGGATTCATTGTAGGGTTACACGAGGGAATGATCGTGGTTAAGTGCAAATGGCTATAAAACCAGCAAAGTGCAAAAGAGATTACAGTTTGAATTTCTCAAGGGGTATTTGGTGGAAGCAGTTGAGGAAACAAAAAAAAAAAAATCAGGTGCTAAAGAAAATGTTAATTAACTTTCATTTTCAGTTCATATTCCATGCATTAGGTTTTACATTGTTATTAAAAGTGAACTTAAAAAAAAAAAATCAGTAATTCCCCCAAACTAGAATCATCAATTACAAAAGGCTGAATGTGGTGACTGATCTTGAGCATCCTCGAGATCAAGAATTTCTATGAGACTCAGAACTTGTGCTTTAAATGAAGATTAGCAGGAACACCAGTAACCTCTCAAGAAACCTAGGCCTCCTTCAAACCGCAAAGAAGTGTCTCAGTACAACTTCTGGCTTTAAATTTGAACAGGATAAATCTACACCGAGGGAAAAGGCTACTAATTTTGGGGTTTGTTTTAAAAGGAGGGTACAGTTTACAAACACGCTAAAGCCCCACACATCAGCCACCTGGCTCAGCTGTTTAACTCTAGTTTGCTAAAAGTACATTTACCTCTCAGCAACTAAACAAACAAAAGAAAAAGGAAAACCAACACAAAACCACTGAGCTAAGGGTCAAGCTGGGCAAACAGACCCTAACGCCTCATGACATGAGATATGCGCAGGAAATGATGAAATGATCTGAAGTATTCCCAGGGCTGGAGCTGTGACTGAGTGGTGCGGCCAAGGCAGAGCAGTGCCCACCGCGGAGCATCCTCCTGTGCAGAGCATCCTCCCATGCACACCCCCAGCCTGGCCCAGCACGGTCACCTCCTGTGCCAGAGTGGATCAACAATTTTCAGAGGCTCCAGGAGGAAACCGAACAAGCACAGACAAAAAAATCCGCCACTGCTAAGACTGACCAAACAGGTGGGAGAAAGCAAGTGGCATTTACAACTAAAAAAACATTACTGCTGGTGGTTACACTGGTGTCCAGGATTAAACTAAAAACCACGACGGAGCAGCTCTACCCCAGGGTGGAGGAGCCACCGAGGAACGCAGCCCTGTGCCGCTGAGCTCCCGCCCAGCGCCAACCAGTGTGAACATCCACGGTGCAATGGAAACCCACATGCCGTGGCATGAGACCTCTGCAACCGGCGCACAAGCATCGCCAAGGCAGGGACCACGTTTATTCCAGGCGCACAGACCCCACCTGGGTCCCCAGAGCTGGGGAGGGCGTCAGGGAACACCCCAGCGCCGGATCTGCAGCCCGGAGCACGCAGCACCGTCCCCGACGGCTGCTTCACCACCCTGCTACGCAGTAAACCCTGCCCAAAACGTCTCCTAGCTCTGCCCCGAGGGCGGGTCACCAAAATCCCTGATGCCAAGAAGCACATTTTTTTAATTTCACAGCACGGCTCCTGACCCGGAGGAGCTGCTGCACAGACACCAAATTCCTCCACCACGCAAGCCCGTCACAGGGCGCCGACTCCCCAGAACAGCTATCAGACGGACTGCAAGGGTGTATTGTAGATTCTCTCCAAGGATACTGTAGGTTAAAAGTGCATAGGAGTGAATTTGAAATGGAAGAAAAATCCCTAGAGAGCATCCTGATCGCTCTCCCCGTGAAGTGCAAAGAATGCCTCCATCTCAGGCAAAAAAATTCACGTGTTTTAAGAGCGGTACAAGAGACACTAATGGTGTCCCTGGTCACCTTGCATTTCGTACACCAGCTGAGCAAGTTTTCTATAATGAAAGCTTTGACACCTTCTCCTTGTTGTTAATTGTCCTGCAGCGCTGCTTTTAACGCCTCTTTTGACACACTACCCCGGTTGTTCACAAACATTTGATGCTTTTTTCTCAGAACAAGAGCTAACTGGGTCCCCAAGCCCAGGAGCTCTGGAAAGGTGGATCATTTCCCTTTGGGCACCTTCCTGCATGCTAGAGCAATTATGAAAAGTTCACCTCACCTGCCCAGTTTAAATGCTTTTGAAGAAACTGGCCTAAATCAGCATACTATGTAGGATTACTTTTACTCCACCACCATTGATTTCAGACACCTTATTCTGCAAATTCAGTAAGAGTTGATTTCAATGGATAAAACACTTCCTCTTGCCAGTAAAAAAAAAAAAAAAAAAAAAAAATACAGTCTTGATTGTTCCCTTTTAACATAAGGATTTTTTTCAAGTCACCTCCTACATGAACAAATGCTGGATCTCATGTTTGCACATCTTTTGACGCTCAAGTCAGGATCACACTTCGGATTGCACGGTTGCAACAACTACCCCTCAAACAGCTTGGAGTCCGCATCTGCGGAGCTCCCGGGGGCAGTTTATGCACTCGGAGCACACAGCAATTAAATCTATACGATGACTTTGATTGCACCTCAGAAAGCATCCCGGGAAAAAAATCTACTAGCAATCTGGTAGAAATCTTCCCCACCCTTCAGCTAACAGACCATAAAACGGGCAAAGCCTCAGGATATGTAACACAGGCAGGATGACTCACAGCTAAGCAAACAGGTAAATTGCATTAAAGCCTGTTTATGGGGCAATTTACATCCCTAAAGAGTCCATAATGTCCTGCAGTGTGTGTGCCACTGACCACCCTGCTCAGTAAAAGTTTAACCCACTCCTCCCCGTCAGAGCCCCAAGTAAAGAGGTTTCAGCGGACAGAGGGATGGTAAATTCCGTAACGAGCTACCAGCGTCCTGGCGCGGAGCTGCACGTGCTACACCAAATTTTTGCAAAGATGGAAACAGCTATGGGCGTAGTTTGCATGGACCGCTTGGATCTAGAAACATTTAAAGAATCACATCACTATGAAATGTATCATTTAGGCTGTTAAAAATATCAGAATATTATATTGAAACGTGTGGACCAGAGGGTGGGGCAGAATCCACAAAACGCCAGGACATCAGTGAATTTTGCAAAAGCACCCTGCTTTTTACAGCTTGCCGTGTTATGGAAATGGGATTAGAGATGTCAGCGCTTTTCACCAACCCGCTGCTATTGCAGAAACCCACATGAAACCTCTGAACGGGCTGTCCTGGCTTTGCGCAAGGACATCAGCACTTTACATTTCCATTTTACCCAGTCCCAGGCCGTGACAGACAGCAGCACACTGTGATCCCGTCCAGAGTGCAGGTACATTTGACACATAACGTGCCAAAAGCTGGGGTGGCAGAAAGCACATTACCCTCCCGAGGTCAGGGGCACGGCAGGAGCGGGTCCCCGCTGTGTGGGTGTCCCCACATCCTCTGACACCGCGAGGTGAGCTGCGCAGGACGGCGCTGCAACAGGAAACCAACCTTTCTGCCAGCTTTCAACTGTTCCGCAAGAATTAATTTTGTTTAAGCTTCCCTCTAAAATATCAAAAGGCACTAAAAAAATGTTACCAGTGACAGACTGGCAAGATGATGTTTGGAAATATATACTTTCTCATTTTAGGTGGAATTTCTCCCATTCCATCCCTATGGTATCTATTGGAAAAGCATTGCCTCTATTATTTTTCCTGCTAACTGTTACAAAGAAAAATTGTCCCTTGATCAATATGTTCAATGAACAGATGAACAGAATAAAAAAATTCCAAATCCTAACTACAGTATTGTATATGAAATGAAGAAAATAAAAGTTAATAAAAAACTGACTAGATGCTTTTGTTCACAATATAGATGCTTAGTGGAACTGTCATCTTTTTTTATTCGCTTCAGTAATTATAAATATACTATCTAAAAATGCATTTTACTGACAGCCCCTTTTCAGATTCTTGCACAAAAAAAATATGTAAAAAGCTTGATGAAATTTGTTTTGCTTGGTTTGAGGATAAAACGTGTGGTTTCTCTTGCAAACAGGCTTTAACCCACACCTGCGATGTCCAACACCTTTGGGGTTTGACGAGGATAAACAGCACAATAGCGAAAGCTATTTTTACACTGTCGTGGTGGTTTAAGCTCCCTTCTGCAATTAGCCTAGTGTCTCATTTACTTTAGAAAACCAAAGCAAGCCATTGACTTGCTGTACAAACATGAACTGTGAGCCAAAGCTGCCCCTTCCAGTGGCCAAATACAAAGCTGGATGTCAGTGCTCTGGGCACTTGAATACTGAACCACGCCACGTGAGGTAGACCGAAAATAACAATAATATCACATGTGAGAAGATGAACAGCAGAATTCGCTCCCTCCTCTTCCTGCCACGAGCCCCGTCAGGCTTTGGAGTCCTCCTGCACGCAGAGCTGCGACACCGTCTTCTTGACGCGCAGGGCGGTGAGGCGCGCGGCGCCGCTGGCGTGCCAGCACTCCCGCATGATCCTGCCCATCACTCGCAGCGCCTGCGAAGCGGCGGTTAAAACAGCAGGTCAAGGAGAACACCCTCACCGCCCGCTTTTAGGTTTTTGAAGCGCAATACTAGGAGATAAAATACAGCTCTCTGAACAGGTAATACACCGGCAACGCCTGAGAGTCAGACCCTTATTCCAGAGAGCAGCGCTCGGGGCAGAGGCAGTGGTTCTGAACTGATCTGGGAGCTGAAAAAGAGCCAAGCACCTGAAACAGCTTTAAATTCAGGACGTGGAGCTCCCTTTGTCCCACAGATGAATTCTATCTTAAATAAGTTTTGTAATAAACTGGAAAACTGCTTTTACCTCACAGCTTTGCCACTGGTTTGGGATATTCGGCCGGAGCTTCTGCTCACAAACCACCCTCCTCATATCCTCTATCGAGGGGTCAGAAGGCACAACGTCGTAGTAAGGCAACTGGTACTCCTCCGTGATTCCTAGGAGAGATTCCATGTGTAGGTAACACAAAGCCCAAAGCAGCGGCTCCAGAATAAACTCAAGCGGTTGGTTTCCACAGGCAAGGAGAGAGAACAGGGGAGCCTTGGGGCCACCTTGAGCCGCTGCTCCCCAGCAGACCCCATGGACACATACTGCCACGATGACTGAGAGTGAGGGGCAGGGATGTAAATCATTGCTGATGTTTTATTTAGGATAGAAGCGGTCTGGATTGCAAACCGAGCAGGGCAGGAGCCTCACCTCCCACGCAGCACCGCCGGGCTATCTCCCAGTACACCAGCCCCAGCGAGTACATGTCTGCGCGCTTGAAGGACTCGAAGATGCTCGTGTTCATCACGTCGTCAAGGATCTCAGGAGCCATATACCTGTAAAGCACACCAAGGGCAGTGTGCTAGAGGAGTTGTACAACAGACCGCGGCTGCGCAGCTGCGTGCCAGGGCCAGGGACCAGCTGGGAAAAGGGAACCGGTGTCACCGACGGAGGAAAGGGACGAGAGGGCTGAGAAATGCCACCCTGCAGGGGACCGGCTGGCAGCCCGCCCTCACCCACCTCCTGGTGCCCACCCGCGGGTTCTGGGGAATGTCGATGGTGTTCAGCACCGAGTCGTGCTTCACCGCCAGGCCCAGGTCCGCGATGGCGCAGCTTTCGTTCCTCTTCACGAGGATGTTCTTAGATTTCAGATCTCGGTGCGCGATCGCCGGCTTGCCTGTTCCCAGGGAAAGAAAGCGCCATCAGTTTTGATAACAACAGTACAAATTCTAACACAGCAAGCAAGGACGCTAACCCAGTTTTATTCAACTTTGTTACTACACCCTGTAAAAAAAAAAAACATTGACACCTATTTTGTACCAAACAAAGCTCTGATAAATGCCATCAAATTAAAAAAAAAAAAAAAACAAACAAGCTTGAGGGCAGTTTTGTTCCAACATCTGTATTTCAGGAATAAAACACAAAGACAGAAACTAAGTTCACCCTCTGCTTATACCATACCACTTATGCCAATACCATTTCTCGTGGTATAACAGTCTGTAAAACCTTTACCTCACCGCATCGCCCATAAACATTTTGGTAACTACCACCGAAGCTCCTTAAAAGCCTGGCAGGACAACTGGGAGGAGCAGCCCTTGCCTTGCGTGCCGACGATCTCCATGTGGAGGTGTGCCAGGCCACTGGCCGCCGACAGCGCCAGCCGCACCATGCCCTCCACCGTCACCGTGCCCCGGTTCAGGTAGTCGAACAGCGACCCTTGCTCATGGTACTCTGAGACCAGCCACAGCTGCGTCCACGTCCCGTTATCTGCCCGGAGGAAGCAAGATTATTCAGCTTTATTAAAAAATTAGCTGGAAAAGCCTTCCCCGTTCTGTGGCCGGCTCACAAATGAACGAGTTTGCCGGCCACCCTCTCGGGAAGGAGCTTGGGAGAGCGGCGAGGTTCAGTGTGCTGTTTCCCATGGGAGCAGAGCATCCTGAGACCAAAAGCCATCCCAAGACCAACACCCAGGATTTCGCACACAGCTCACCCTTGTTATCGGCAGCGATAAAGCCCAGGATGTTCTCATGCCTCAGCATAACCGTCTGATAAATTTCTGCCTCCCGGAACCAGGACCGTTCATCTCTGGAGAAGAAGATTTTCACAGCGACGTCTTCCCCGCACCATTTTCCACGCCAGACTTCGCCAAACCGGCCTTTCCCAACGATTTCCTGCAGGACGATAGTCCTGGCGATTGTTCTTTGGACAAGCAGAGGTAAGCCTGGATGAAACAGAGGAGACGGATATTTGTGACATAGTTCACCCATGATTTTAAATCCCAAAGCCAGATTTTCCAGTGCATTGTACTCATGACTTTGCTGTCAAAAAGCACCAAGCAAAAACCCTTTTCCGATCAAAATCCCTCCAAACCACCCGCCAGCCCCGGCTCTGCCACCGCCACCACCACCACCCTGCCCAAACTCCCTCTCCTGCCCTCCTGCTGCTCTCACGACACGGGCACATTTTCCAGCAAAGCCAGGAGACCCGTATGGTGCAGGCACCTTTCTTTCCCCAAACTCTACCTCCCTAACCCCAAAAAAAAAAAAAAAAAAAAATTTAAAAAAGCAGGCCAGAACTCATTAATTTGGTTTGATACGGACTATAGTGTGTTTCACAGTCAATTAATTAATTGATCTGTTCTGGCTGAAATTTTCAACAAGAAAATAAATTATCATAGCAGTTTTGTTTTGTATTGCTGGCCACAAAACCCTGCCTCATTTGACTTGAGACTATTTTTCACTTATGAATAAAATTAAGCTTGATTTACATATTTTCCAGGTAAATAAAAATCCTAGTTACAGAAATCTGGGCCATAATGCCAGCCTGACGAGCTGGAATTTTTGAATTCCCATTTTCCCATTTCTTTGATATAACAAGTTCTCATCAGCGATGGGGGCATCGTAGCAGACAGGATAGCAGAAATATGTGAAATATTATAAAGGCTGTCATTTTGCTCAAAACAAGAATTTGAAGTAACGTTATTTTGGTACCATGAAAGAATTTCTGGAGTGGCATCCCAACCCACCCAGCTGAATGTAGTTCCTGTTATTGCCAGCCAGCAATGCGTCATGTCACACATGAAACGGACTTCTGAATCAACGCATTCAACTCTTCCATTCGAACAAAGGCTCGAACTTGAATCACGGAATCATGGAGTCATGGAACAGTTTGAGTTGGAAGGGACCATGGAGGTCATCTAGTCCAACCCCCCTCCATGAGCAGGGACATCTTCCCCTAGATCAGGTTGCCCAGACCCCCATCCAACCTGACCCTGGATGTTTCCAGGGACGGAGCACCTACCCCCTCCCTGAGCAACCTGTGTTGGTGTTTCACCACCCTAAACTTGTGTAATTCATCAGAAAAAGAGCCAACGAAGCCCCACTGCTGCTGTAAGGGGTGGCCGGGCACGCCGGTCCCTGCATCAGCACAAAACCTCCTGTGACACAGACCCCGTCACCAGCACAGGGGCCACCCAGCTGCCAGCCCCACCTACCGGAGCCGGAGCCCGAGGTGGTCATGTCATAGATGAGATCCTTCAGCGTCTTGCCAGC